TTTTGTATGGGACAACGGAACAGAACCCATCGCAGCCAAAACACGCCCTTAACGTTTCGCATGCCGGATCGTCTCTTTTATTTTTCTTTTCCCACAATCACGCTATACATATAAATGGGCAACTGACAACCTATGTATCCAAGCCACCTCTTAGAGCTGAGTGACCCTTCAGCAGCATGATAGAGGATAAAACGCTCTGGCGGGTCCCCAAATTTCGTTAATGACTCCCCTAAATTTTTAAATAGGGGGATGTAGATATACATCCCGGTTCACTGCTTCCCCACAGGTATTGACTCGTTCGACATGACAAGGATTCCCTGTACATGAAAAAGGTCGTTTTCGTCATTTCTTCAAGAAAAGCATCCTAGGTTTTAGTACCGGTATCCAGCTAATAAAACCAAAATCGTGAAAAGAGCAATCACAATCGACTAGGTTTGAAGAATTCAAAAGAAAAAAAAGTAAACCAAGAAACATCGGCGCGTTGGCTTGCTCTCAGAACAAGTCTTATTTATTTTTTTTATTTTCCCATGGGCTTGCTTAAAGTAGGAAGCACCAGATCATTGTAAATCAAACGAAACTAAATGTGAGAAAACGGTGAGCGAGTAGGCATGCTTGCTAATGGCAGTCCAAGAGATATATCTCTATCTTTGCTTAGTCAACGACTATATAAAGCAAAGCTGACTCCACAAGCCTTAAACAACGAACCAAATACAATGGAACACACATACGAGGCCAGGAACCCCCCAGAAACGTTAAGAGATAAGGGTGCCATCCATCACCACCCAAAGCAATCGACAGCCGTCCTGAACTCTCTCCTAAATCCAATGAACTACCGGTATGCCAATCAGCCCTTAGAAATAACAGAGTTTAACTAGGCTGAATACTCCACGGCGGCCGGCAGCTTGCACGAAGTAAACAAAAGTGATACGGATACCCTGTTCCTGAGGATATAGGGTGTGCCAGATAAATAATTTAACAGGCTTGAGTCAAGACTTGCCAGTAAGCATCAGCTATCACTCGTTTCTAGGGTTTACTAGTATCGTAATATTAACTGCAAGAAGTGAATGACGAAAGTCAACGGTACTTAGGAAGAATTAGGTGCTGCCCCGTGCGTATATAGCAAAGAATAACTATGAAGGGGGCCATGATGAATGGATCATATATCTTTTCACAGGTGGTATCTGGCGAATGATTCCTGGTGTTTTAAGAATGCCGTGAGTTCAAAAGCCGTAAACCCGCGAAAGACTCGTTTGATAGGAAATCGCCGCCCCCACAGACCAAACCAGCGATTTTCGCCCCTCAGACTCTGTCTAACATTTAGGCTTTGCATCTGCTTTTCCCAGTCAAACCAGGCAAAACAATTATCGTATCTCTTTCACATCTTCCCCACCTCACCCGGGACTATCCTACGCCTCACCCCTAGGTGTATGATCTAGGGTTAGACTCTACCCCCATAGCAGGACAAGTTTTTCCCTGCAGCCTAGTGATTAAGACTGAGGCCAATCTCCCAGTTACCGCAAGGCAGGGGATGCTATCCCCCCCGGCCCAGGTGACGGATGGCTTAACGATAACCCGTGGCGAGGGGGAATTAAACCCTTAGGCTCCGTTTGGTGCTCCCGGACCCAAAAGGACAAGTCGGAATATTTGAAAATCCAGATCCAGATGTAGAGTCTTTAATCATTTGTGTACCAGATGAAAATCTGTAAAGAAGGGGAGAAGGGAAAGTACTCTAATTATATACTGTAGTGATAGTAAATTTATGAGAGCTTTTTCATCCAAGTTAATGACCAGTTTGACTTTCAAAGCCCAGGCCCGAAATCCCTATCTATCCTATACAAGAAAAGCCCAGTCCTAGGCGGGGCAAATAAACACTACTGGGCCAGAAGTCCACCGCCAGAGTCCGGGTTTCAAATCCAAACCCGTCGTGCCCAACCCGGCCATCAGCTTACATCAATTGCACCAGGGTTAGTTGGCTCTTGGATTCTTGACCACTACTCAAGCTATACAATTCACGCAATATTATTACCATGAGAACCAATACTTATCCTGCTGCCAGATGGGTATAGATTCCTCCCCTTTAGGTTGACTATAACCATATTACTAAACACTTCACCATCCCATCCACTATAAAAGAAGATATATCCCCAGGAGAGAACTCACAAGTATTGATCACCATTAGCTCGCAAAATTCCTCATGGCAAATGGATAACCATAGCCAAAATACCAGAAATGGAAGAAAAAAATTGAAAAATTGAAAAAGAGGCAGTTTTGGGTGGGAGAAAGACAGGATCATAGACGCACGTCTAAAGGCCGTCATGCACCCGTACGCTGAACAGCGCCAACACAGGAGCACAGCGATACAATATTCATGATCTATGATAACCCCGTCGAGGGCATTTCCCCAGACTTTCAAGTAGGGTGTCAGGGGTTCCAAATCACAAAACTACCATCCCTAATACTACAGTAGATTAAGTAACCGAGCACAGTACAAAACGCAGGCGGGTGCGATCTCGCTCCCGGGCATTGTGGGTAGTCCGGTGTGCTGGGTGGAAAAATATAACAGTTTTCATAACTTTAATGGAAATCTTGGAAGAGTACACCCACCTTCGTGCAATAGTGCTGGAGACAAGGCGATGTTGGAATTGTTTTTGCTCGGGCGCGGAACAGCCTTCAGATGTCTTTGAAAAAAAATATTTGCACCGGGAATTTGATTTCGATATATCATATCATATAAAAACAGTATCATAGCCAGTATGGACAGGAACCGGAAAATCAAGGGCAGGGATCCACTCGTATTGTCCCCTGTATAGCTGTGGGTTCAGCACAGGTACCAGATATCCCGGAGGAAAGTTTGAGCATTTTTACTCAACCTCTTAGTTAACTATCCACCCTATAAAAAAGCCCCCCAGAAGCCTGCCAAGAATCCAACTGGAGATGAACACGGAATGAGGGAAAATATGTGACTGACAACCAACCTCCTAGCTCAGGACAGGACCGGAGATATATCGAAAACAGAGTGATACTTGATGATTAACTCAAATGCGGACAGTAACACCAATTAGGCAAAGATCTTCCAATAAGCAGTCTCACCTGTTGGCCTTTGCTTCGGGTACAGACTACGGGGTGTAAGCAGAGATAGCGGGAACAGACGGAAAAAAACCGGTGACCCCGTTCTAGCACTGTACTGTACACACCCTAGCGGGAGCTTTTTACAACTCTTGGGTGCCAGTCGAATAGTTTTCTCGGCAAGATAGGGGACTCGCAGCCAAAACCAAGCTATTGGCAACGATCCCGGCCCTTAGTGCTCAGGCAGACGGGAGAAAAGGTTAAGGTGCATCTCGTCTCCCACGAACCCCTGGCGACCCGCAAGGCTCACACCCAGCCGGGCGCAGCTTTCGACTAAGCCTTCGTTAGAGGGCTCTTGCCGGTTCTGGGTGAACTCAGTCACCGGACTCCAAAGTTTATTCCACTATTGTTCCCTATTATGTTAGAACTCTTGAGTGTTTTCTTGGTATGGGTCGCCGGATGATTATCAAGAGCTCGGCTTTTTCTATTACGCCCAGCGAAGGGGATACAGGCCATAGCCTTAGAAGCGGAAGTATATTTAATAGAACTAGCAGTGGGCAATGCATTGGGTATCGGAACGGTATACCAAAGTAGGGACCGAAGCGCAGGATTGAGTGATATTAGGTGATCGCTCCCGTTCTGCTTGATAACCAGGTCAGATTTTGTGCATTTCTATCATAAATATATCTTTCACCTAAATATGGGCACCGGTGATACAGTTGATACACTCATTGGAACTTCCAAAAATAATAACTACCGTACTTGTAGAGAAAACCTCTGTGCTCCGCCCATTACCCCGGTCCACCCGATTCATAGAGGCAAGCAAAAGAATGGCCACGCCCGCAAATTGACTAGGAAGAAGGAAAGTTACTATCAGAAGGGCGCCTAACGCATTGAAGCCTTTGATTTCTTCGGAGAAATCAAACATTCTACCACCCTTAGTGAGAGGGGGCTACCGTTATCAAGACGCACGAACGAAGCCACACTTTCTCCAAGTATCGATGGCGGAGGGGGAAGTGTGTTGTGTGCATCAAAAAGCGAACAGCCGCTGAAAATGAACCGTTAGATAGCCGCTGTAGAAGCCGACACAATATGTAAGGGCAGGCAGGCAATCGCGCCGACTAATACGATAATAACCCAACGATTAACCCTTGCGCACCCTATCGCTCCAATCACCCATGATAGGTAATAGGAGGGGTATCAATAAGTTGGGATAGGGTATTTCGCCAATACCCCTTGCCGAATTAGGGCTGTCGCCACCGGGGCCATCCCGCCCCTCTCAGGGAGTCCCCGAGTGACACTTTATGTGGTCAAACTCGAAATGGCGAAACCTCCAAAAGTGCCCTCGCCGGTGGTGGATAGTTATTAATAAACATCGCTCCGGGCCGAGCGAATAATTGGCGCACGACGGACAAAGTTTGTGGATACCGGTACCCTCAGAGACTCCGACGTGTCTCAGCCTCCACAGTCGATAGCCGAAGGGAAAGTCCCGTGGTGTATCATACTCATGCGGTAAAAAGCATGTCATTCCGAAACGAGTTCACTCGAGTGCTGAAGGGAGGGAATGCAGGGTGTTTATCACGCACTCCTTCGGCGTAGAAAACAGCAAACCAGGGGTAAAAAAACAACGTGGTTTTCCTAGGCGACGCAGAAAAGCAGCTTGCATTCAGGTGCTATGTGCTTCAAAGTAAATGGCCATCTGATCTCGCATCAAGAGGGGTGCCGGTACTTTAATGCGGAGACATGTCGTACCCAAGTATTCAGGGCAGTCCTGTACTCGTATTGAGCACACACTCCCGAACCTTACGGGATGCGGTCGCACCAGAGTGCCCACCCTGCACGGTCCTTTGTGATTATCATGATATTATTATTATTAGTGCTTTCCGTGCCGATTTTAAAGGTATGATATTGATGCCGACTCTCGAGAAAGCAAAATGTTCCACAGGATGATGGCGAAAGATCGGGGGACCTCCCCCATCTGGTCAGCACCACCCTTCCATCCCTCTGCACCCCGCTGTTTAAATTATCCCATCTTTAGACAACACTTCTCACATCAGAGCTGGGCAAAAGGTCGGGGCATCGGAGCGAAAAAAATAAAATATATCGCAACCACCCGGAATATGCAAGGAAAATCGGGAATGTAATACTGTAGACGAAGGCCTGGTGCTCATAAGCAAGGTAACTTATTACAGAAGGGAACGGAACGTGGTTGGTCCACTTGGGTCCCGGGTTTAAAAATTCAGGGGGAGAGAGAGAAAAAAATCGAGACGGGCGCGGGTAGCTGAGTGGAGGAACTTCCTCAAGCGCCCTTCCTCCCCACCACCCCCGGAAGCCTCGCCTCTGTTTCTCTATATAGCTCTGACAAGGGTCCAGCGCTGCTCTTATTATGGACCCTCGATCCCTTCCTCATCCATATTCATTTTTATCTCACCTCTTGACGCTCAAAACTTAGCAACACTGCTCAGAGAGTCCAGCCAGTAGTTCATTACCGTCAAGGCAACCCCGAGATCGCTTTACAATGAGTGAGTGGCAATTCCTTATCACGATGTCGTTTCATAGGGAACGGTGTGGTTTTCGCTTACCCTTTTTTTTTTTTTTGCTATAACAGCTCCACCTTCACTTGGAACAGATGGGACGGCCCCGACCAACGGAATTTTGAACAGAGTAATGACACCATAGCCTTCTCGAGATTCTCATGTCCATCATCTCTAATAAGCTAGGCTGTCAATTGCGGCAACTATCCGGCAAGGACGAACGGCAACACGGTCACGGTAACCGGATATTCTACAGGTACATGTCAGCCTGGCAGTTGCAACAAGTTACAATGTTATCGGAATGGCTGTGGTGGCTCATTCACGGATAGCAGGTCTTGGAGGTACATAGAGTATTCCCCGCGTCAAAAACGTCGCATCCGCAAAGCTAACCCTTCTTACAACGACATAGGGAACATAAAAAGACCTGTATACCTGTGGGAAGCTATGGTTATCGCTGCGTGTTCCCGGATTGCCCCGACCGTTTTATGACTTCTAGCCTTTACGACATGATAAGCCACCAACTGGTTCATCAGATGTTCGCTTGCTGCGCACGGGGGTGTGCCTGGGCCTTCTCTACACAGGAGGGAGCTATCAATCATGTCATCAAAGAACATCGCATGACCAAACCTCCTACAGACATGATAAAACACTCGTGGACAGTCCGGAAACATCAGGGCGAATTTCAGCGACAGTCAAGCCTTTGTTTCGACATCACGGACATCGTATTGGACTGGGAGGCGGGGGTTTCGAGTCCTCCAGAGGGTATCAGACCAGCCCCGAAGCTGGCCACATACCCTCTGCCCGGGAGTAGGCATCTCGAGAGTGGAGCAAATGGTGAAGATACAGAGGGTGCACAGAGTTTGAGCTCGGCAGTGTTCGCGCACATCATGCATCAACTTGGGGCCATCGGAGATCTATTGGATAACCGAGCGTTGGCGCCGACTGCAACGGAGCGCCGCCAAGTGTCTCAAGCACTGGATATTATCCAACAAAATCTCCGAAGCAAATCCTTTGCGCGTCCGTCGGCTAGCTGGAACGGGGGCCCTCCATTCCCCGGCAGGGTTTCGAATATGTATGGCTTGCACCGTCCGGAGACAGTGCTCCAGGAGGAACCTGCAACCGTTGGTGCCACAACTACTCTGGAAATCCGCGAAGGGTCCAGACGTCAAAAGAAGAAAACCGCTACCACACAAATACCTACAGCAATATCGCCCGTACAAGAGGAAGGTGATGGTGGAGATCTATCCGGAACTGACCTCGACTCCGACGAGGAGCCCGACGCGCTAACGCTAGGAGCCGACGGCGAACCTCTACAACACACCCACCTCTCTGGCGAAGAACAGAGTAAATACTTCCAACAAATGCAGCAATGCTGTGTCCGCGCTGCTCATGAGTTCTACCTCCGCCACCGCGCGCACCTAGACAACATCAAGGACAAGAAATCTCGCCAACTCTGTCTAACGGCAAAATCCAATCCTATCTCTAAGCCCGATGACCTCAGTCTCCCGCATTGGACCCATCTCCTACGCAGGATCAGCGATGCAAGAGGTCTCCAGAAGAGCATGGTCAGCAGGATAGAGAGCTTCAATGGGGACATATCCCCCGTTGACGAGGTTAGACATGCGTTCGCGAAGGGCAAGGTCAAGAGCGATAGGGACCTCTTGGCACTCGTCCAGTTGACGAGGAACTTTTGCTGGCAGCTGAAGGATTGGGATAGATGCACAGATTTGGACACGCTGTATACGCTCCTGGAGAAGACCGTCCGCGAGGCAAAGCGTAGGAACTTGGAAAGGTGTAGCAAGCCAACTAGAAATGGGACGTTCAATAATAGCAGGAGGGAGAGGCCAAAGATCAGAAGCCCACAGAGGCAATCGGCCACCTGGCCGTTGATGGCGGAAACGAACGGGGCAGAATGATAGTGTGCGAAGAGCACAACTTGGCTACACGCATGGACTTTTTGGATCCCCTTTCCCCTGCCTCTTTCCTCTCCTCTTTCCTTCACCTTCTCCCTTTTTTCTTTTTCTTCCGCATTTTTCCTTTTCCATTTTCTCCCCAATTCTCCCTTTTTTTCTCTTTCCATTCCCAGACCAAGAACTCGTATGGCATTACACAGGTGTTTGAATTTGAATCCCACAAACAGGGTTATTCTTTTTTTCCTCCCCTCTTTTTCCCTTTCCTTTCCTTCCTTTCCTTCCTACCTTTTTTCCATCTTTTCTATTTTAGGTGCACATGGTTTTGCCTTATCCATTTTCCATAACGCGAGATTACGAAGAAAGAAAGAAAAAAGAAAAAAAAACCGTTCAAACCTCACATTCCTCATACTAGCCATCATCGTGGTGGTACTCAGTGTGCATATCTCCATTGCCCGTTTCGCCCGCCTTCTCAAAACCACATGATATGATATTACGACGATATTATTATGATATTGATATCCAGACCACCGTATGACGCTGCATGCTGAAACCCGCCCCTTACGTCTCACCACCGCCACCACGCTATCGGCCAACCTTGCAGCGCATGGGTATGGTAGTTGTAGGGCTGCAGCAGAGCGCTGCGCATCACCGTCGTGATCTTCCCTGGCGCGATAGGGAAGTTTGCGATAGTGGCGATAATGGCGATAGTAACCGCCATGTCGGTCAACTGATCGCAGCGGAGGGAAGCCTGTGTTTCACTGTGCTGTTGTTGTATGTGTTCGTGCTGACACGCTACCGTAGGTATCACAGTCCACTAGGGCACGGTGGAGTTGAGACAGTAATTGTTCTAATTGCAGCATAATGAGGTATTTTGGAAACGAAATTCTGTATGAATCGGAAGTCAGCGTTGCGACCCGTAGCAGCCTAATGCTTATTGCTAAAACATCATAATTATAACCTCTATAATAATGGCATTCAAAGCTAAAACATGGAAAAAGGCTTAACCTCTCTCCCGTACCTTTACCTTGCTTGCTTGCTGTCTCTCGTAAGCTGGCACACAGAGAAATCAGTTGACTTGCCACTGCTTTTTCCATTACCACACGATACTCTTCCTAACACACAACGAGTGGAGAGTTCATAATCGCCACAGAATCCTGCTCTGACGGAAACCCTGTCAGAGCTCAGAAACCCACAAAATACATGAAGCGATAAAAATGGCACCCCCCCCCTTCTGACTCAGCAACATTGCACTTTCTCAACTACCGTATATCCAATTTGCGCACCTCCTGCAGGATCTTTTTTTTTCCTTGCTTTCGCCGCAATTATCATATCAGTAAGGCTGCGGATGCGCCTTCTTTCGGCCAACGGGATCCGGGTTTTGGCAAGAACCGAATCCGCAGCGTTCCCCTAACACACCCGGGCGGATTATTAAATCGAGACTAAAAAAATGTGTATTGAGGCACGTTCCGAAAAAACAATCGTTCGCCTTCCCTGCCAAGAAATCAAACTTGGCCTTGAGCTTCTTTTGGCGAATATGGAATATAAGCTAGAGAGACCAGACCCTTAGCTACAGTAGATATCCGAAATATCCGTTTTAACCTCTGTGCTTTTGCTCTGCTCCGCTCTGGGTCACCCCCGCGCACTCAAATCGTTAGCCAACATCGTAAAGCGATCAAGGGTTAAATTATCCTCCAACTTTGAATACCCTTGCTGCGGCGGTATCATAATATACAAGTACGGTCGGATGCACTACTGTAGATGGCAATTTGCCCCCTCTCGTCGCCAAAACTCGACTCGTCACGCAATCGACAATCCCCTTCCGCCCTACCAGTAAGAATGTGCACGAATAATGGGAAAGCGGAGGTTGAAGCACGAATGGCAATTGAATACCCTATCGTATGGCACTTCAAACCTTACCCCTGCCGGTGGCGAATTTTCTAAAAAACTCACTTTTTCGACATTTGGCAGGGATAAGGGTACGAGTACAGTACTTCCGCCAGCCGATATTTTTTTTGCAGTAGCCCTCACCCAATATTCGGCTCCCGGAGGTATTCTTGGCAAATACAAGCGAGTATACTGTACTAGGGGGTTGACAAAAGTCGGGTCCACTTCCAAAAAAGGTTGCGGCATTTATATGTAGTCTAAACCAGGTTAGGAAATACGAGTGATATCTGGTGAGAGCTTTCTGGTGTTGGCAAAAAGTCGGGTCCAGTGTGAAAGTCGGGAGTTCTATGAGTGATATCCGATGAGTATGAATTTTAAAGAAAAAAGGAAGCCTATATACAGAAATCAATATGGAGTTGCCCCCCCCCATCGGCATCAATGACAGCTTGTAAACGGTCTGGCATGGTTCTGATAAGGTTTTCTAACCGCTTAGTAGAAATTCCATTCCAAACCGTGTTTAGAGCATGTTCCAAAGTTACCATATCACCAATTCTACCCCATGTCGTGCCCAGCTCATTCTCCATATCTAGCCATAGTGCCTCAATCAAGTTCAAATCTGGAGATTGGGCTGGCCAATGGGTAGTTTCAACTTGGTTAAGATTCCGGTACTGAATGGCATATTTCTTGTGACCGGGCACGCCATCCTCAACCACTGTCACCTACCCATATTCTTCACAACAACGATGCCAGAAGGGAACCAGGTGAGGATCATAATATTCCTCACATATAATGCAGAATCAACCTTAGCCTTACTTGGTATAAGAACTAACTTAGACCGCATTGTCCTACAAAAACCACCTCAAACCATCTTGCTCTCACGCCCAGATTCAAAAGTTTCATTAATGCAGTCAGCATGAAACTCCTCACATGCTTTATGTGAAACCTAAGAATGATTCCTGAAGCTGGCGGTCAAAAAGGTCGATTCGTCTGTCCACAGCACACGGAGCCAATCCTTGTAACTCCAATTTAATTGTTCACGACACCATGCAACACAGAGAGGACGGTTTGCTGGTCGAATGGCAAATTTCCTGTGTGCAACGTGTCGATGGTAGCCTATTGACTCCATCACACCTTTTACTGTGCGTGGACTACAGGCATAGCCCATCTCGAGACGTATCTCATCCCAGCTAAGGTGTCGGTTTCTGGCATTGCATTTTACGAAGGCCTCCAACCGATACTTTTCGACCTCGTCAAAGATTGGTGGACGGCCGGAATGGTGGGAATTCGAAGGTGTGCCATTTTCTTTGGCCTGCTTATAAATCTATAGGTTTGTTAAATATATTTCACTATGGTAAGATTGGTATATACTGACCCACTGGCATGTCCGACGATGAATACTCAGGTGCCGACCAATTCGGCTCCAATCCCATCCCGCAGAATCACGGAGCGTAATTACTTGAATATGCTCATCACGTGTAGTTTCGCGGTGCCACACATCTGCTGGGTTCTGCTCACAAGTTCCCTTTTGTTTCAGACTTTTTTTTATATACTGTCCTGTATGAGTTGGGGAGTAGTGAAGGATGAATGTGACCTGCTATGTGGTCTTCGTGCGGTGGTGGTAAAAGAGGGAGTGCTATCCCGGAAGAGAAGACTTGTGTAACCGTACGCCAAATACCCTTACACCCGAGTACTCAAGTGGCCGAATTGAAGTCGGAAGGCACTACTGCAAAGTTCGCTTAGCCATTTTCTGATTTCAATTTGGCCGCTTGAGTAGTACCCATAGATCTCATTAGCATTACCAGTGTTGGTTAAAAGCACATTTTTGTAACCCTAACTGATGATTTCATTTTTGCCTACTAGATACCCCTGTTCGTCACACCCTCAGTGAAGACTGTACTTCTGTAACTCCTTACTTCTCCGTTTTTGCATATGTGATGAGATTGAAGCAATAAAGGAATATCAGGTAGAATAAAGATAGAACAAACTGCTAAAATTCCTAGGTTGAAGCTGCGTTGTTAATCTAGAATAAAACTCACATCCATCGGAGCCAGTACAAGTATCAGCTAATTGAGGCAGAATTGTTTGTTTTCTGCAAATTCGGGTTATGATCAACTACGATCAAAGAGCATTTTGTGGTAGGTATAGTATGGGTTACACAGTAGAAGAGTGCCTGGGCAGTAAACGACGTGGCTGGAAAACTAATATTGAAGAATAAAAAATGCACGAAACTATTCCAGCCTGCCAAGAAGCGCACACCACAAAAAAGCAGAACAAACAGAAAGAGTGGTTGCTAATCAGATCGGATACCTATATTCCCATAATTCTCGTGATTCCCATATTCTGATTCAAATAGAGTCCCCAACAGTAGCATACAATTGTGGGATTGGGTTCAGGGATCCCAAAGTACCGGCCAGTAGGGTATTGGTCTTGTGGATAGCATTATTGTAACGATCCCTCCTCAGATGGTTAGTTCTTGGTGACAGGGAACGATACTTCTCTTCTCTTACTTCTTCTTCCTTCGTCTTACAATAGCGCTAGGCCTCTGCCTATGTTACCAATAGTACAAGACGTTTGTCTTCTATCGGAGACGCCCATCGTAAGCTTTCTCTCACTCTTCTTCATGAAGAACTTTTCTTGGCGTAACAATGATGTTGCAATAAAGATAAAGATTGTAAAGGTGTTTTATATTCATTAAAGTAATAAGTAGGAAATGTACTTAGAACAAAGCGTGAAGAACCTATCCTCCTCAGCCATATCGGTCTCCTTATATAGTATTCTTCCCGCCCATAATCATGTGACCCAAAGTGGTCACATGTGCAAAACCAAAATCATAACAAACTAATCATGTAACCAAAGTGGTCACATGCTTAAAACTTATGATCTCGTAGCGAGGTCATGTGCAAAAACTCATAAACCAATCATAACACAATAAACAAGTCATATGACTTGACTGAGTCATATGCGTAAAACCTATGACCTCATAATGAGGTCATGTGTGAAACATAAATCATATGCATAAGGCTTACCTGTAAGACACACTTGTAAGGCATACTCGCCAGACGCACGTCCCATGACTCATATTTGAGCCACGTATGAAAACATCACAAATTCCACACATA